CTTTAAGCATGTTTTGTGTATCTTCACAAAATTTTTCAAGCTTTTAGTAAACATTACAAATCCTTTATAATTACAATTCAGCATTTATATTTCAGTATTTTTTTAAAATCTGTCCATAAATATATGGAGTCAGAGTTTTGATTGCTCCAAGTGCAATGTGATTTTCATGTTAAGATGAAAATAATTTTCTTCATCTGACAAATTTCCAATTGAATTTCCATAATATCTAAAAATCTCTTAAATAAATATCAAACGTTTTTTTATATCGGAAATTTAATTTTTATGAAACTGATTTGTAATCGCACGTTGTCAGGGCAAACAAGAAATGGACAGCATACAATCCACTTGTTTTAAAATAATATATTCAAAACAAGTCAAATGTATGTACAAAAATTCTTTACACTATAGGATATCACTGTTGTATCTAAAACTCTAAATAATTCCATTTTCTTGTCAAAAATATACTCAGGCTGATTCAATTACTTTAGAATCCAATTGACAACACAAACTATTTTTCTATACTTTGTTTCTTACCATACAACCTATGATATATTTACTTACATTATACCATGGGTTACCACAGTTATATCTCTAACTTTAAATAATTTTATTCTTTTCATCAAAGTCCACACAGGTTCAATTACTTTAGAACACCCTCTGACAAGATAAATTATTCTCCTTATCTCTATTAAACTGTGAAACTCACTTTAAAATATCGCTTGTTATGGCTATTCACTTACACGCCAGTTAACTTCACATTTTCTAACATTTTTTTAACCAAAGTTTACTTGACTGTACTTCACTTGCACTCGCTTGGTTGCCTATATTTATATGTTGTTTACTGAGGCCTGAAATTTTCTACAAACTATGTTATGCAATGATTTAACAATACTCAGTTAAGGTAACAAGAAAAACATCAAAGATTTGATTAACTGACATAAAAAATATTAGTAAAGCCTAGACAACAATGTAATTGCAAACACAAAGTACGACTCTTACCAGGTTATACAACCAAACTTGTCATAACAATCGTTTTAATATAATTACTTTTAACTCTCCTGTTAGGAAAAGTAAATAATCATTAAATATTAAATCACCAAATAAACTAAATAATAACTATTAACCTAAACAGTCTTGTATATCCAACACACATCCTACTTGCTAAGTCTTATTTATTCTCTCAAGTGGAGAGCAAAACAAATTAATTTTTGTAGATTTCAATGATTTTAGAAAACCAAAAAATTATCAAATTACTGTACGTGTACACATAAAACCACTATAATTTACCTGGCTCTCTAACTAAGCTATATGTAGTTTAAACTAAATTTCATTTTTATTTAGAGGAATGACTTACTCAATAGACTTCAACATTTCCACTCAAATTACTAGTTCTCCTTCAAGCTAATTATAAATGATTGTCAGATTTATGTAGTTTGGAATGTGCTCTTTCTATTGGTTATAAACACGTTATTTAAGAGAATTAGGTATGAGTAGACAAGATGTTTCAAAATAATAGAGTAGTGGGCAGGACTACCCTCGTAGGTGTGCAAAGTATACTGATACCTCAACAAGTCAAAAAGGTGGGAGGTTCATATTTTATATTCTAACTTAAATGTCTAAAGTTTGAGCTTCTAATTCTTCAAGCACTATAGACATGTATGGTAGGTGTAATAAAATATAAACTGAATAATAAGACAAGAAGACATGCTACATGACACACAAAAAAGAATATTTAAAATGTTCTTTAAATATTTTCTTTTGAATTAAAAATTTGAATTATAAATGACATTGTGATGCACATTTTATTGACATACAGTGATAATAAAGTTCTTTAATGAAAATTTGAAAATGTCATGAGAGAGGGTTAATACCTTTATGGCTCATAGTAATTCTTCCTGTAATGTATTTTGCAGTTACCTAACAACCACGATTTGAATATTCATAAATAGACATGCCATCATCATCTAAAGAGACAATTCAGCTGCCTTACCATGATACTGCCTCTGACATCTTTACAACAAAGTTGTACTCCTTAAGTGTTGTAATGCAATATGCAATCATACTATCTAGGTCCTCGTAGTTACACATGGTATACATAAATTGTGAACTTTCTATTATAAGATGGTGGCAGTAGTATTTCACCAATACAGCTACAAAGAGTTCATTTTTGTTGTTGTACTGTACTATGTTGATATATGACTAGCATACATGATTATATGCTTTACATCTTCCTGCACCTGTGACAATGCTCCAATTCCACTATCACAAACATCTGTAACTAGGATGAATGAATAATCCCTAAAATATGCCAACACAAGAAGCTCAAGTAAAGCATATTTTAGTGACTGAAGTTCTCATTCTTGATCCTTAGTGTAAATAAAAGCAAACATCCTTTGTTCAGAGCAGAAAATAGTGCTCCTATTTTGAAGAGTGTGAAAGTAAAATGCAAGGCCTGTGACATATATACAGCAGTATAAGAAAAACATAACTTCAGATATTTTGCTTTAATTCTGATCATACTAAAATTTTTCTTCAATTTCTTTGGCATTTGTATTTGAAGAAAACAAATGAAAAATTAACTTTTAGATGTTTCCCATTAGTGTAGTGACAGCATACTAAAATTTTCTGTAATTTCTTTGGCATTTGTATATGAAGAAACAAATCAAAAATTAATTTTTAGATGTTTCCCGTTAGTGCAGTGACAGCCAATAACTGATGTTTCAGAAGTATCATTGCATAAGTTTATTTTTTATACATTTTACTTAGTTATGTTTATGCTGAAAGAGAATCAACAGATATGATATAAAATAGAAAGAAAATAAATTGCTTCTTTATTTGTTTTCTCTATTTCACAAAAACATATTCACTATCTGTTAGTATTATGTACTGAAGTAGACATTTTTTCATTATACACCTACACTATAGTCATATTTGCAAAGAAAAAAATTCTGTACACAGATATAACTAGATTTTGTGTGAAAGAGTGTAAAAGTTTAGTGAACATTACTATAACCTCCTGTGTAACAGCACTTTTTCTAAAAAACCAGCAATTTTTTATACTTCTTTTCACAAAGCATAAGTTGTTTATCTAGTAAGTGTGGAATTTAATACCAATGTTATCTCTGTGCTCAAGTAGAGTGTGAACTGATCTTAACTACCATCAATTTATTACTGCTGCCTAAATTTAAGACAGTTGCCATTTAATGATAAAGGTAAAAACTATTTTAATATTGTAGTACATAATACTTTTAATTTCAGCTGTAAATTATTCAAAATGTGAAGGAAACAGTTAGTGTTCCATGGTCATTAATCTTCAAGACTTACTGGATCACTTAAACGTAAGAAATTTACATTAACAATCAATGTTTTCACAACCATATTGAAATACAAAAATACCAAATACTCTGAACTGTACTTAAATTATTTACCACTGCCTACTTCAACAGAAGAAATAGTTTTTCTTGTATTCTCCGATTGTTTGAAAGAAAAAAAAATGACAAAATACAGTTTTAAAGCATCAGTGATTAGTGCAAATGATGATTTTATTAATCTAATGATGTTGTAAATTATAAAGATTAGAAAATATGTGAACAAATTAAAGGAAATAATCTAATACATAACTTGCAAAATACTTTTCAACCATTTTAAGTTTAACAGTATCTCTTTTAGAATAATTATATAATATCTGAATACACAAGTATGTTATCATGCCCAATTACTTGACATTAATCTTCTATCAGTTGGTTTTGTAATCTCACTTCTCTTTTGCTTTCATGACTTCCACACTTTAAGTTATTACCACTCTTGATTATACATATCAAGCAATAATTTATAAACAGGGCACAGGAAAATGAACAACAGACCATCAAGCTTTCAATTATGAAAAATCTAAATAATTATTCACATCCCGAGATGAAAAACCAAAATTTGGTAAATTTTGCTGTACTCTCTATACAACAATTAGTTACTGCATAGGAAGACAAATCACTACATCTATGGGAAAATAAACCTTGCTACACCAAGCTAAACTTGTCTTTGTTAAACATTGAGAACAATGAGAGTCATCTGTTACTGGAATTTCATACTGCAAGCGGCAAAGGAATATGATGCTTGAAAGACCTTGGAAACCTTTTTTGGTTATCTCCATCATCAATCTAGCTGTAGTTCTTAGCTGATAAAAAGCATGTTTGATATTTTGTGGGATGAGCTAGTCTCCTGCAATTGTATGGTATTAATCAAACTGCTCACTAGTGCAGTTGATCACTTATGTTATGTTGTCTTTATGCTGGCTTGAGGTCCCAGCTGTAATGTAGACATTCCATCAGGTGCAATGAAGCAAACTTCACAGCACAAACAAATGTTAATACAAAATTCTACTGAGACTTGAACAAACATGTAACATACATTTCCCATAACTCAGGAACTCCTAGTAGCCACAGATATGCTATTTCAACTATTTTTAAGTACCATAGCTGAACTATGTGTCTGGCTGACTTTGCTGTTCTTGATATTTAAATTTGCTGTCTAAATTTCACATGCTCTACTTTTTCTAGATAATTTTGTTTGTTTTGTATTGGACCTAAAGTTGGTGAATGCTTCATCTGTATACATTAAATGTAAATTGCAGTTCATTCACCATTTCTACTGTTGTTTGGCATTTTATGTATTTATGAAAATGACTGACTTCTGTTGAGCTTGTCACATTAATGAATTAGAAGCTCATTGCAGGTTAGGAGCCTTTCTTCCAAAAAATGAAATAAAAAATAAAATAAAAAAGATGAAATAAAAAACTGAGAAAAAAATGTGAAAACACTCCTTCAATCTTATAACAAAGATACATAAACAGAAAGAATGGTTTATTTGTATATAGATCTATACACATACACGTGGTATGAAAAGAAAAAAAACAACTTTTTTAATAAGTTAATTTCTTAAAAAACTTTAAACCTACTTAAATTTGTAAACCTTAAACGGGAAATAAAAGATAAATCAACACTTACCACAACAAAAGTTTAAGGATTTCTGCTACTACTCTTAAAGACAGAAGTCTTATTCTGTTTCTACTAATGGCTGAGCTGTATTTGATACTCTTATAACTACGATTTTCATCTTTTTTAGTACCAGCTCCTGGCATCTTCTCCTTAAGTGTTTCTTCAAGTGTGTGATATTTTTTAAATAAGGCTAGCACATCACTACAACTTTGAACACTACAAATGCAAAATAAAAAATATGTAACAAACAATAATGTGGTCGAATAAACATATAAAGTTTCAAGTTTGACAAAGTTACATGTAAAAATATTTAAACCTTTCCAAAAGGTGTAGATTTAACAAGCCTGAATATATTTTAATAAATGATTACTTCTCTTCTAAATCTCAAAGAAATGAGCTAATATATAAAACAATGTGTACAAATTTTTAATAAAACATATTTTTCACACAATCATTATTTATTTAGGTTACATAGAGTTTGATGTGAATGGTTCTTGCTATTCATTGCACTTTTTTCTTCTTTTTAATGCCTTATCATAGGGACCAAAACATTTTCATTCTTAAATAAAAGATGATTAGTTAAATTTTATAGTTAATTAATTGTTGGGCTTCAATTACTCTGATGAGACTTGGATAGTTGTAATAAATGAAAATGGTAATAATCACAAACACTAATTGATTAAACTGAACAACAATGGTTAATCAAAAATAATAATGAAAAATATTTTGATTATTTGGATAACTGGAATACTGAAAAGAGTAATCGATTTAATAGTAATTAATATTCGTTAATTATTTTATGTGACACTAATTCCTGTAATAGATGCTTCTAGTAATCAATTATATCAATTAATTGTTTAACTCCAAGTGTAGAACTTCCTAAAATTTCAACAGAAATTTGCAATAAATAATAAATTATCTTTCCTCCAGAGTTCAAATGTTATAATTTTCCTATACTGAAAATATATTTCCAATAGGTACTTACCTCATCTCACATAAATAGCTATTCTCATTCAGTGCTGCCCTATATATGCAAAAACATTTTTTGCATCTCACAAGCCTTGAGCTCCCACATACCTTACAAATGCATCTTGCATGTAAATCATCATGTGACAGCTCTCCACTTTATTCGATTCTACTGAACCATCACTATGAGTTTTGGCAGAAAATGGAAGCACCAGTTTTCAGTGGGGAGGAAGGTGGGAAGTGTGGGAGAGGTAAGTACCTATTGGAAATATATTTCAGTATAGGAAAATTATTACTTCCGATACAGTACATTACCTCTGCTCACATAAATAGCTAGAATCCCACACTGAATTGATGGAGAAACCGGTGATAGGGAAAAACAAAGCAGCATTCCTCAAAAGCATCTGAAGAATACCCTGTAAGAATAGACCCTCATAAAAGAGGATCATACATGGGATACCACACTAAAAAAAACTAACTAACCATGGCAGTAATTAGTTTGAAGGGAGAGAAAACAAGCTTTTTGGTTTGTCTGCCCTTCCCAACTGGGTTGTTCCCCTTCAACCCCACGCAAGTATTATTTCTTTTAGTGAATTTAATTTTATCTTCTGTTTTCGTTGTAAGTCATGAGTTTGTGGTGTCATTAAGAAAGTCAGAGGAGATGGGCACTGCGTTGTGATGTCCAGGGTCGGTTGAGTCAAGGAGGTCGATGAAGTTGTAATAGCAAACAAACAGAAAGATCCATATGTGTGTTATGTATGCTATGGTTGTAAATTACATGGTATTGTGTTGGAACATTTTGATAGAGAAGAGTTTGTAAAGCATTTTGAAATAGGGTGATTTCAAAAATTTATTTAGTTTCTCAACACTTAACACTGGGGAAGGTTATAGACCCTTTTCAGGTGGGCTGGAACAGTAGGTTCAATGCCCGGAAGATAATTTTGATGTGGGGGGAAACCATAGTGCTGGAGAAAACCCACTTTCACAGGACAGACGCCGAATAATCTATCTGTCCTGTGCCCTGGCTGCAAGGCAATACATGGTTATTGATATATATGCAAAGAGATTCAACTTTTATGTGCGTGTGGTTCCATATATTGTGTTTTGTTGGTAGAATAGATTGTATGGTGAAGTGTGTTTGGTGGGAGCACTTGAGATTTTGTGTTGTGCTGAAGTAAAGCTATTTCTTTTATCCATCTTTGTATAATATTTAAAGGATAGTTTTGTTAATCTATTCTTAAGTGTGGGGAGGTTACTTAGTTTATGTATGTATTTTTCAGGGGTAAATGTTGGAAGCCTTAGGGCTAATCTTATGGCTTTGTTTTGCTGGATTTGAAGCTTTTTGAGATTATTTTTAGACATGTTGTAGATTATTTGACATCCGTATTCTATGAGTGAGCATACAAATGTTTTGTATATTTTTAAAGCTGTTGTTGGTGCACAGTTTGAATGTTTGCTTATAATTAGACTAACGTAGCTGATGCATCTGGTAATTGAGGTGTGTATGTTTTGAATGTGTTTGTGTCATGTTATTATGGTGTCAAAGGTGATTCCTAGGAACTTAATACTGTTGTCTTCTTATGCGTCTATGGTCGATAATTAGCGTGAGAATCTCAGGGGTTAGTGTTCAGTGATTATATGAGTGTGAATGTTGTCTTGAGACAGACGGGGTAGTTTCAGATGTTGCTATGTTTAATGCTTGAGTTATATTTTTTACATATGAGTGTAGGTCATGTTTGTTATTAATGTGTGTAATTAATAGAGGTAAATGGTTGTTGAGCATTTCATTGAATTTTTCCCAGTCGGCTTTAGTGTAGTTATAAACTGGTGGGAGTACCCGTGGTGTCGGAGGTCTGCGTGTGTGAATTGTGCATGATATGGGGAAGTGGTCGCTTGAGAGTTCTCGATGGATATTATGTTGGTTATATTATTTTTAAAGTATAGAACTATACCTCTATTGCTGTTTGTGCGGGGTAGAGAGTATGATTTGAGGCCTAGGATATTAACATTATGATTTTCTTTAGCCAAGGTTTCTGAAATTATCAGGCTTTTACCTGTTTATTTAAATTAAATATTTCAAATTTTTTGGTGACTAGGTCACCTTGACAGTTAAGATGCATTATTTTTATTGTGTCTGTGAATAATGTGTTTGTTGAGCGCGTTGGGTTATTCTTCGTGAAATGTGGTGTAGCTCGAGGTTGGGAAGGGGGAAGTAACGCCAGGTGATTGTGCAGAGAGCTTCTAAATACTCAGCCCATGTAGAGAACTCTGAGTATTCACTTAATTCTACCAGCATTGACAAAAGGTTAATGATATATTCAGCATGGTTTGAAGAACTTGGTGCACTTGTGTTGCTTTGTAGTTGGGAGCCAGTTTCGCTTGCATGTGAATAAAGTTTAGGTGGGACTGTGGGCTGGGGTGTGGTAGTGTTGTATGTATTTACATCTACAGAAAGTGTTTCGAGCAGTGGCTGACATTGTGGTCAGGACAGTGGTGGAAATTCCGTGACTTGAGATGTAAGTGGAAATGGTGTCTTTTTAGTCCTAAAGAGAACTCTATCTCGAACTTGTGTGAATTTGGGGCATGCTCTGTAGCTTGCAGTGTGGGGGCACTGGCAGTTGGTGCAAGTGACCTGGTTGCGCTCTTTCGGACATTTGATTACATCGTGGTGGGGCTGAGCATCTAACACATTTGGGGGAGATGTGCAGTATGGTTTGCTATGCTTGAACTTTTGGCAGTTGTAACACTGTAAAATCTGTCTGGCAGGTGTTTTTGTGGGTTCAATGAAGTGCTTTTTGAAAAAAAGTGAGATGTCGAGATCGACACATCTGATGACGATGGCTGGTTGTGTAGTGGTGTTTTTGGGCGGGTGAATAGACATTTTACCGTCAAATGCCAGTGGGCTAGGATGTGTGCATAGTCCTTGGGGGAAGAGCACTTTAGAAGAACACCTCTTTTCGGGAGTCTGCGAATGTCTCTGAAATTTAGGCTCACAAAATGTTTTCTGATTTATTTGACTATTTGTGGGATTCTTAATGTTGTGGGTATACCTTCGATGATAAGTCCTAGGAAGTGGTATTGTTTATCATTAGTGTGGATTTGTGTGTTGTTTTCAGTGGTGTTTGTTTTCTGAGTATTGTCCTTAGGGCTAGTATTAGAACTTTCACTTACCGGCACTGTCTTCTTTTTCTTCTTCCTTTTAACAGTGAGTACTGAAATGTGGATGATAGTAAAAGGATGTGCCCCTAGATGTAGAGTGGCTAGGGCATGACGGACCACACACAGCAAGTCAACTGCATCCAAAACCAAGGCCGCTGGGAACGGTCATCCATGTGGGGGTATGATGAGGATCACATCATCAGTAAATCAACTACAATCCAAAACCCAGTCACCAGGTACCAACATCCATGTGGGGGTAGGAAAGAGGATCATACCAGAAGCAAGTCAACTACAATCCAAAACCCAGCCATCTGGTGGGGGTAGAAAAGAGTGGGGGAAATATTGTACCCCCTGATCTATAAATGGGAGACATGATGCAATGTGAGAAAGTGATTGACCAATTCAGGAACTTGACATCCAAAGGATCGGTACCATAAAGATGTCTCTGTAATGTAAACTATATCACTAAAAACCAATCCGACAGGAACTACCCCCAGCTCAATAACAGACACCTGTAATACATGTGTAAGGACTTATGTTGATTGATTCAGCTCTGAATCCCAAACCAGCCACTGGGAACTGACATCCACATGGGGGGTAGGATGAGGGATCCCAATTGCAAGAATAAACTGCAATTTTGACGGCTCACTCCAAAGCTACCACATCCTCTCGGAAAACCCCATACGGAGGTGGAGCATCAGATTGGAGGACATCACATCATCTACACATTCAGGAGGATGCTTCCATAGTCCACCACCCCAGCAGTTTTGAACTGCAAAGTAGTAAGGCCCCAATACTCTACTGGAAGAAAAGGGGGAAGAAAATGCAGTGGAGAGTCTGGAGGAACAACAACACTGGAGACAGTGAAACAGGTGACCACAAAAACCCTATTTTGAAAAGCAGACCATACCTTATATATTCAATCTAAGGTATGGCAGAGATGGGCAGCTATCCCTTTCTGCTTTACTCACAAAGTCAATAAGTGAGTACAGTCTGGAACGATCATATGAATGAAGCAGATATACTGCAAGGACAAACCTACAAGTGATCTTGATCTTGTGGAACACCCCATCTCAACAGAGAACGTGTTATGGCTACAGAAATTAGAAATAATCAGTAAACACGGCCTGACAGTGCGGATTTAACTATGAGAAGCATATCTCGTCAGGCACCACTCACCACAGAGCAGGATCCAGACAGAAAAAAAAAAAACCTGAAAAGATATATATAGATATATATATATAAAAATATAATTTACCCAGTCACAGTCTCACCGAAGTCTGGATAATGGCAACAGGCAAAAGACAACCCATAGAAGAAAATACAGTTATCCAATGCAAATAGTAAAGTATGAATGTATGTGGAGTAGTCCACATGCCCGACTGAGGAATTTCCTCCAAGGGACAATGGACATGAGATGCCAGGGAAAAGGTAAGGTGCCTGACCTTGATGAGAAGACACCTGGAACAAATTACGAGAATAAGATGGTAAGGAAAAATTAGCCAATCAAATTAAAAGCCAAACCCAATTGGTCAGGGTGGAAGGAGAAAGGTCACAAACAGAAGATGTCTGCCAAGGAATGAATAGGAAGGAAACCATGCAGGCAACATAACAACAAAGAGCATAGACAGGACATAGTAGCCTAACTGGTTCTGACCGAGGATAAAGGTGGGAAATGGAAATAATGGAAATCAGCAAAAAGGAGGAATTACCCTCCCAAGCCGCTGAAGTTTCAAGAAAGATCAATCTGGATAAAGGAGAATATATGTGAAATGATATAAAGTAGATGAAATGTCGATGGCAAATAAATCCGACCAATGACATCCACAGGCTAAGAGAAGAAGGAATTAAATCTTAAAGGGTAAGTGAAAAACTGAGAACGAGAACAGCAGTTAAAATGGAGGCAAAGTAAGACAGTGAAAAACCACAATGACATCCCAATCTGGAAGGACAGCATGCCAAGGTTGATGACTAACCTAGAAGGAATGCAACAAAAGGGAAAGGGTAGGAGAGGCAAAAACTGTATGGTACCTGGAAAAACAAAAAGTGTGAGATAAGGCAGCCCGATAACCTGTGATCAAGTAGACAGAAGAAAGAGTCAAGTGAAGAAATCCATAATATGAGGAACAGTGGGTCTAGTGAGGGAAAACCACTGAGCCAACAGAAGAAAATGTTCCATTTATATTGATAAACATCCCTAGAGGAAGGGCAAGTGGAACAAGCTAAAAAAAAAGAAGCGACCCACCGAGACAAACCAAATCTCCTAGCCAAGAACCAGATAGAAACTAGACACAAAGACAGAAGATATGAAGGGCTGGATGAAACACTGGTGATCGAGGTTGACATAGAAGGGATGGAGTAAGAGCAAAAGGTAACAGAGGTGCAGAATGGAGCTGTAGCAGCTGTGGGGACCACGATTGTGATGGCCAGTAAGGAGCAATCAGAACTTGACATGGAGTGGCATGGATGATCAATATCACCCTGTGATGAAGATGGATGGGAGGATAAACATACAGGTATTTGTTGGTTCAATCTTGACCGAAAGCACTGACAGCCACAGCAAGAGGATGATGAACCGAAGACCAAAACAGAGGTAATTTGGTACAGAGGGATGTGGCAAATCCAGGTGAGGAGTCCCCCACTGAAAGCATAGCCACTGAAAAAACAAGAGGATCAAGAGACCACCCCACCAGATAAACGTTGTCTGGATGATTCGCAAAAAGATTGAATGCACTCAGAACATGATACGCAATGATACGAACACCAAGCATGTAGGCCCAAAAAAAGGATATACAAGGTCTGACTGCAAAGAGAATGAGAACAAGAGCCACCATGGTGAGTGAGATAAACCCTTGTAGAATTTTCAGAATGGATCACAACCAGACGATTCCTGGAAAGATGAAGAAAACAATCTAAGGCAAAATGTACATCCAGAAGTTCCAGGATATTGATATGGTAAGATCTTTTGGCTGGAGACTACTGACCTGTAGCTTCCTGCTGATCAACCCACACTCTTCCCCAGCCATGTCCACGAAGATATGTAAATACGGATGAGGGGGAGGAAGTGGAACACCTGCTAACATGTGAGCCTTTTTCAACTGCCAATACAGATCATCTACAAGGGAAGGAGGAAGGGAAATAGGAGCCTCCAAATGGATCCCACGCAAGATTCCATTCGTTGTGTAGAGTCCACTGATGAGGCTGCATATATGTTCAACTTCTAATGACTTCTACGGAAGACCACATCCCCAACAGTGATAAAACCTCGCGAGCTGTAAGAGGGAGAGCAATAAGCATGTAGAGAACTGAAAGCTCCATCATGCAAAGTTGAAGAGGAGAAGGTTGGGCCCAACTAAGATGAGTTTTGAAAAAAACACCCAAATGGACAAGATATTGGGTAGGTACAAGCCCACACAGGAGCAGCAGATTAGTGTAATGGGTGGATTCCTGTTCGGAACAAGATGACAAAAGCCAGTCGTCCATGTAATGATGGAAGCACAACCCCCGAGCATGTAAATGATGGGCAAATGCCTTAACCACCCAACATATGGGGCTGAAGCAAACCCGAAGGACAAGGCCCAAAATTGATAAACTACCTGGTCATATATAAACTGAAGGTAACATCTCGAATGATGTGATATCGGGACAAGCAAGTAAGCATTCGCAACGTCTACCTTGGTCATTCACAAACCCAAAAAAAAGCCCACCTGAGGGTGTGAAAAGACTCCATGGTAAATTTGGGTAGAACCAAAAATTGATCGATGCAGGACAAACTGATCACAGGCCGCCAGCCCCCAGTTTTCTTGGGTATGACAAAAAGCCTGGAATAAAAACCTGGAGAAGGATGATTGACAGGTTCGATGGCCTGCTGGGAGAAAAGATCTTGTACCACTTCAGACAGATGCTGACTGGTGATAGAATCCTGAGGCAATGGAAAGGAAATGGGTATCTGAGATAATGAAGGAGAGGAAATAAATTGGATAACAAGTCCCTCAGATAAAACCCAAATAACCCAAAGATAAGATCTGTGGCAAAAAAGTCACCAAAGGAGAACAAAATCGGAAAAGCAAGCCCCCACTGGGTAGTCACCAGTAGTGTTGACGACGAGATGATGAACCCCTGGATTGAGGAACAGGTAAGGGCTGAGAAGGAGCAGGACTGGAAACAGTAATAGGGGGCATTCTAGGCTAAGAATGCAACAAATGATCTATCAAAGTAGAAAGGGTAGCTTGCTGTTGTAATGACTCCACACAGGATTCCGAAGTCTCAGGAATATTACACAAAACATACTGCTGAAGAAAACGGAGCACACATAAGTCCGAGAGATAAGAAGGTGGTAAAAAAACCTGGAACAAAGCTGAGTCCCTTCCCAGGAGATCCCAACAACTGAGAAACAACATGTGTAAGGAGGTAATCAGGGAGAGGTTAGCACTAAAAAAAATCCTCAGGATCTCAGTGGATCGTCTCAGAAAGGAGGAGGATAGTAGACAAGTACAGTATGAGAGTCAAAAGTGTATGACTAAGGTGGGAAAACTGGGTGTGAGATAAAGAACACGATGATCAGGGTCCACCTCCACAAGGGCAAAATCTATTCTAACTGTTGAGAAACGGACATTCGTCCTGATGGTAGGCTAAGGAAAACTGATCTGAAGCCTGTAGAGGGTGAGGTATGCTGGCACCCTCAACCATCAGAGAAAAAAAAAATAGCTCAGCATAAACCCTATAATCTGGGGTAATAAAAAGGCTGGCAAAATCCTCTTCGACCCAAACACATTCAGCATGTTAAGGAGGAACAGGGCAAGATCAGGAGATGCAGGTTGATTCATATATGATCAATCTCATGCTGGACAATAGTTGATAAATCCAAAAACGAGCCCCCTCCACCTGTAGCCTGTGTGTGCTAGTAGAAGGTATGATCTCCGAAGTGGTAACTTGAAGTTTGGAATTCACTGTGTAAAAAGGAAAATCAAACAATTGTTTGAGGAGAAAAAAATGAAAAACCTGGAAAAGCTATCTGAAAAGTCATTAACTGTTGAAAAACAAAAAATCCACTTTGGAATAATTACAACAACAACAAAAATCACGAAATTGAGCAAGTTTAAAGAGCACAACAAAAAATGTCTTGACACGAGTACTGCCAAATGAAAAGTAATAGTTCGGTAGAATCGAATAGAGGGAGTTCACACGCATCAAGAGAGTGTGTTGCATTCTTATTGGTGGAGGGTTGTAGCATGATAATTTACATGCAAGACGCATTGGAATCAGTTGATTGTAAGGTACATGGGAGTTCAAAGTTTGTGGCATGCGAAAAATTTTTTGCATACAGAGGGACAGCACTGAACAAGAATAGCTATTTATATGAGTGGAGGTAATGTACTGCATCAGAATTTACTTTATGGTTTTGTCAGGAGCTTTCTGTACAACGTGCTATTAATTTTCAATGATGCATTTGCAGTGCTGATAAGTAATGCAATATTACTTATAAAAGATGGAAAATAAAATCCATTCTTTAAAGAAGAAAGTTTTCTACTTTATAAGCTATGTCTTCTAAACAAGTCCAATTACCACTCCAAAGTATTATCAATATAAAATTTACTAAACATTTTTCTGATATTTGAAGTACAAAAATATTTTAAAAAATGGAGTAATTTCCACAGTTATAGGAGAAAACTATGTAAATGAAATTATACCATGCATTTTAGAAAACAAATGAAGATTAATCATGTTGAAACTAGCATCCTCAATGCTTTTTTGTAATCTGCAAAGTTAATTTTTCTCAAAGTGCATTACTCATTACAGAAGGTATGGACATTAAATTGAATACATTTATTGTTGCTAAAAAGGAAATGTTTAGTAAATAAGATTTTAATGATAAATCAACTGTGTACATCCAACTGGAAATAGTATATTTTAATAAACAAAACTTACCTCATTTCACAAGCAGTAAAACAGTACTCTATTAAACCTTCATATATTCCAAGTAGTTCATTTGCCATGATGATATTCTTAGTATCAAACAACAATGAGGGGTTGTAACCAGTCAATTTATCCTGTTTGAAAAGTTCATATCAAGATTAGTATTGTTTATAGGAGGTTGTTTAATACTCAAAAGAAGTGGTTCTGAAGTGGCAGGAGTTGACCTGCCACTCAAGTTTCCAGTTGTAAATGCTGCTCATTTCATGTCTGCGATTATAAAATCTTAAAAACGTCAATTATGTTAAATATAGCTGTAAAGCTACGCACCCACAAAATCTTATATAATCAGCCTGAGTTACAAAAGTAATTGACTTATTCACTGATTTGAATTTTACTCACACTTAAAAAGCCCAAATAAGAAAAATCTCTTTCACAAATAAAACTTATGTTGGTAGTACTGCTTCAGTTAATTTTCACAATTATTAACAAACCAACAATAGAAGGTGACTTATTCTCTATATTCTGTTTGGGTGTTATTTTGTACAGGTCAATATGCAGCAAACTCTAAAATAACCTTGACAAATGCATTTTGTATTCAAACAACAGTCCGTTTACACAATTTTTTTACAGTTCAAAAGATTGATCAACTTAAACAAGAATTCTATGTATAAAAAATGTTCACCTCACCAAACATCTTAAACCGACATGTATGGGATATTCATGCTTCCTCACTTAAAGAAATAAAATGGAAATGTCAATTTATGGCTGGTTATAGATAGTTGATATTAAATAGCAGCCCTCATGTGGTCCAGAAAAAGAACTGAATTGGATTAGACATGTTTTCTTTAAGGTTAGTTTGGTAAAAGTTAAATGCAATCTTATGTTCAGTGATCCTTTGAGTAGATATACCAAATGAGAGATGTTAAAACTGCAAAAATATGTGATGTGTGTTTAAGTGTAACATAAATACACATATGTCACGTCGTACAGAAAGTACTTTCTGAGCACTAGTGCAGCTATTCAACATATCCAAAGATACAGAAAACTCTATAAAATGAGAACACAAAACAAACATCACAGAATTTATATTAAATAATTCACTCAGAAGATAAAATAATCTGTACAATATAATCAAAACAATACAACCAAAACATTAACCAATAAATATTTGATTGTAAAAAAATAAAACAAAAATGGAAAACATCTAGGCCACATATAATCTATTTTTCTCTCACCAATTCAAAATCTTCTATTTCAGTTGTAATCATTCGAGACACTAGAGTTTTCATATATCTCTGAAGCTTGTTTTTAATTTCCAGCTCTTCATCATCACTGTTGATTTCTTCTACTGGTCCCCTGTTTAAGCTTGTTGTTAGACACTGTTGGACAGTGAAGACAAGCTGAGCCTGCAAAAATGACAGAAATTTATTGATAGATTATTGGAAACATTTTGTGGCTTAACAGATCAGCACAATACACATTTAGAATTATGGCATAATTGATTTATACGGATAGTTTCCTCAATACTGAATTCAGTTTAGAATATAAAAAATATTTAAATACAAAATAATGATAAATAGCTTTATATAAAACACAACCATTTATATTATATATACACTACATATAAATAGTGGAATTTCAACTAATAGTATTTTGAGTCTTATATAATGAAAAATGCTTCATCAAACTGTTTTATTTTTGGCAGCAGAAAGCACAAACATATTTTTGAACCCCCTTCCATGATTTACCTGAGATAACTCAGGTGTCTTCCATGTTTCAAAAAAAGATTTGTCTAAATTTATTTGCATGTTATCATGTATTACAGTCAGTGCTCACTAGATGGTAATTGAAAATGCTGTTTGTGATTATCTCTGTCAAAGTTATTCTGAATTATGTATCATAAACACTGGAGAAAAGCAATCCTATTTTTCTATGAAGTTTCATTGAAATAATATGCATTATGTATAAATTGAGATATGTAAAATTTATTTATCAAGAATATTTTGTGCAAAAATATAATAATAAATCATAAAAGTACTTTTGTTTCATTAATATATAAGTATAGGCTGTGAAAATGCTAAATAAAAAAGACTGACTTTTTTTTAGCTTATTTCTAAGAAAAGCCTGGCACAGAAAAGTTTGATACATCTGTTTTTATTCTTCTTCTTCTATAGATTAATTTTGCAATGGTTCCTTTAATTAGTCTCTGAAAGCCATTAAATGACTATGCTTTAGAAGAGCAGTGTGCTATAATGTCAGAGTAATAGAATATTGTTTAATCTCCAATGAAAATTATACACTGTTGATAAGATTCTTAGTTCTACTCCCATGTTGTTTTTATTCTGCATATGTTTTATCAAACTACACCCCTGACAACAAACTCAGGTCTGTTGAACTTAATTCTATAAAACACCACCTTTTATCATGGATTAACTTCAAACTAGTACCTTGAATGTGTTCCTAGGAATATTGGTAACACCAATGGCTTGAAAATTTCTTTACCAGAAAAACACCATCTTTATAATGCCTCCTGCAAAATTTTTAGGGAAAAACAATACACCACTAACTTGTATGTGATCCTGTTCAGTGACACTGGTTTGATCACCCAGGTCTATAATTTTTTCAAATTTCTGTATCAGAATCTGATCATGAAAGTTATCTACTACTTCATGGGATGTTTGTATTGTATGTATGTAAGAATGCTTTACAACTGTCATGTGAATACTTCCAGATTTTTGCAAAGGTACATGTGATTTGTAAGCTATAGAGAGAAAGAGAATGTGACTTGTGGGAGCAGTTTTTGACTTTCATAGAGATAAGATCTTGTAAAATGCTGCATTTTCCTGTAGGTTCTTCTTTGAATTTGCCAACTGTGTCTCAACATGTTTTACCTTCAGTTTTGATTTCAAATTAATTTTAGTTTTACTTAAATTTTATCATTATAAACCTGCAAGACATGTTACACAATTGTGGAAAACAAAACAAATAGCATTTAACTGTGTTCATCAAGCTTATTTCTTTCTTCCCTTCTTCACTGGTTTTTATACTAATGTTCCATTTAGTGAGGCATGAATACCACAGGCTAAAGTCTCTACTCCATTGCTGTAAGCACCTCCAGTGTACTGGTGGTCACTAGTGAGTAGTCAGAGATACCAGATACCTTTTACCATGAAAGTACTGCCTATGCAGGAATTCAATCCTGAAAAGTAATGATTTGAATGAAAGGTACATAGTTACTATATCAAGTATGGTAAGCTTGGCATTGGAAAAGAAACTGTCCATATCCCATTATACAATATGAAAGATTGTATGTTCTCTTCAAGGCAATTGCCAGGCACAGCAGAAGGCTCAATGACAAGCAATTGTGCCAGCAATCTGGCTAGTTTACTCTAGTAGAGATTGGGTTGGCTCTAGCCACCAACCTTGTACAAAAAGACACTAACCAGTTGCTCCTCCAAAAACAGACATAGCTACATAAACACCTGTAATAAAACACAGATGCAAGCTTGATGCCATAACTTCATTGGGTCTCACAGTGTATTAAGGAGTCCTGAGTGAAGCAACCACATCAGCTAATTTAGTAATTGATTTCATTCTGGATAATGAAGGGATGTCACTATGTTTCAGAGCAGCAAGGATGTGACAGTAAGTAGAAGGAGCACCTTTCTCCAGAAGACAATCCCCTTTAAGGTGATTCAGGAGAGCAAAAACTACTTCCATCCAAAAATTATTATTAAAGGGAAGAAAAACAAGATAATAAGTTATTTTAATTATGTGCATGTTGGATATACAAGACTGTGTAGTGTAGGCATTACTATTTGATTAATTTTGTGAGTCAATATTTAATGACTGTTGAGTTTTTCATAACAAGAGAGTTAAAAGCAATTATTTTGAAGGCAATAGTTATGACAAGTTTGGTTACGTAACTCGGTAAGAGTCATATGTTGTGTTTGCAATTCATTGGTGTTGAGGCTATAGAAAATTCTAGAGGCCTCAGTGATAAAACATATAAATAGTGGCAACCAAACGAGTGGGAGTAAAAGTCAAATCAAGCGAAAGAGAAGTTCAGTCAGAGAAAAGTTAGAAAACATGGAAGTTAGCCATCATGGGAGTGAATAGCTTTAACATCTGATATTTTAAAGTGAGATTAACAGTTTGATAGAGATAAGGAAAATAATTTGTCTTGTCAAAGGGTGTTCTAAACTAATTGAACTTGCCTGTGTGGACTTTGATGAAAAGAAGACAATTATTGGAAGTTCAGGATGCAACTGTGGTAACCCACGAGGCAGCGCAAGTGAGTTAAATATGGATACTCTTGTGATACAAGTAGAGAAAAATAGTTCGGTGTGTCAACTGAATTCTAAAGAAATTGAATTAGCCTAAGTGGACTTTTGACAAGAAGAAAAGAACTGTAAAGTGTTTAAGATACAACTATGATCTCCATTGTTTAAAGAATTTTTGTAGATACGTTTAACTTGTTTTGAATATATTATTTTAAAACAAATGGAGTGCGTGCTGTCAGATTATTGTTCAAATTTATTGCCAACAAGCCACAGACACCTACTGTAGAAGAATCCTTGGCCCACACCCATGTACATATATATACTTAGTCTTGACAGTGCATTGTTTGAATATAACATTAATATACAATTAGTAAAGATTTGAGTTATCTGAATATTTTGCCATTATCCACCATACTCACTAAACCTAATTTAACAGTTATCTTGTCACATAAAAGAATTTCTACAATTTTCAAACACATGTAACTTAATAGAAAAACATTTTGAGGAATGAAAAGAATATCTAAAAAAACTTTAAAAATTCCTGCTTCTTGATTTCTTCCCAAGTCTTCTAAATTTTCTATTAGATTCTGTTGTTCATCCCTATACGAACTCTTAGCAGCCACTTTCCCATGAATCTATAAATTACTGCTCATGCCACTTTAGTTACTACACAATTACATATTTAGACACTACCTGTAAGTATCAGAAAACTGTGCTTCATTAGTAATTGTCCAAACCACATGCTGTGACATCATAAAAAGGATGTGAATGAAGAACTGTAATAATAAAACTACTACCCAAGAAAACAGATAACATGAGAAATAAGACATGGATAATTATATTCTCAATGGATGATAATTTCTTAGGAAATATAAAACTATAAATCTAAAAAACATACAAGCAAGTGTTTTCATAGCTGTGCAAAAATGAAAACTGGAACAATAATTCATTTTCTTTGCAAAATACATTAAATAAATGTTACAGAATGACAATATATGAGTTTATTTCTGCGATAAAATTTGTTGAAATAGAGTTAGTATTATTATTTTTTTACTTACGTTTTGAAATTTCATATGCAGGTGTGCACTAAACACCTGAAAGGTACTCTGCAGTTTGCTTAGGGTAAAACAGTGTGCTTTATCCATAAGCTTAAATTAATCTGTCATGGAAGCCTTTTCTTGATGGATATATTTTTTTTTATGCATTTAAAGAAGTTCTTTTGGTCACTATGATTTAGACAACGATTTTGATTACAGCAGGTAAAGACGAGTACAGAAATAATTTGCAAATGAGAATTTCAAAATACATTCCATGAAAAAACTGGATTTTTAGGAATGAATGCCTTTACATTATATTTTTAACTTTTTAGATATATTAAAGGTTCAAAACTGAAAGTAGCTTAGAGGATGGGCACAAATTTTCAAAGAAAATCTTGGCCCCCAGCTCTTAAACTAGGATTAAGTAATGGTGAGGGCCAAGACAGACAAAATGCAAACAAAATAAGATGCTAAGACAAGTTTAGCATAGGAAATGAGTACAGAAGTAGTTCTAAGGATAGGCTTAATTGTTACTATTGTAATGCTAGAAGTATAAAAAATAAAACAGGTGATTTTAGGGCACTGGTAGCCATGGAGAATTTTGATATAATGAAAATAATTGAAACATGATTAAATGTAGATAATTTTGAGGACAGAAATGTCTTTGAACTATAGGGTTATAAGTTGTTTAATAGGGACAGAGTACTAAAGAACCCTAGAGGAGTGGCTTTATATGTAAAATGTGAATTACATCCAGTTGAAGTTGAGGATATCAAAGATAATAGCAAAGAGACAGAATCCATTTGGGTTTCTATTAGTGGATATAAAAGGAAAAAGATTTTAGAGGGAATTTGTTACTGACCACTAGATGATACTGATGAAATTAGTGAGAAACTTTACAGTAAGATTACAATTTCAGCTGTTAATGAAGTCATAATTATGGGTGATTTTAATTTCAGGCATATAGATTGGGAAATTGTAGAGTCAAACCATGAGGGAGGAAGGTTTTTGGAAACTGTTCAAGATGGTTTTCTTCACCAATTGGTCAAGGAACCTACTAGAAACACTATTTTAAATTTATTATTAATTTCTAATATAGAAATTGGGGAACATCTGGGTACAAGTGATCATTGCTCTATTAGGTTTGTTGTTTTGCTGCATATGGAGATCAAGAATAATGATATTTTCGTTACAAATTGGGCAGCTGAGTTATTTGGAGACATTGATAAAATGTGGAAAATTTTTAAAGATAAATTTTTAAATATTCAAGTAAACATATTCCTTATAGAAAGAGTGGTTGGAAGTAAAAAGCCAGGTTGGCTCACAAAGTGTATAAGAGATAAAATTAAAGAAAATCATCACAAATTTAAGAAATTTAAATTGGCTGGGAGATTTAGAAGTTTATAGAAGATCAATAAAGTTGGTCAAACAAGAAATTAGGACTCAAAACGTACGTATGAAAAAAGGTTGGTTGAAAATGTAAAAAGTAACAGTAGGAATTTTAAATACATTAAGGGTAAAGAAAATGTTAAGATGGGGGTAGGACCCTTGAGGGATAATAAAGAATGGCCCAGTCTTAGGATCTTTGCTCTTTTTGATTTACATCAATGACATAAAGGAAAGAATGGTCAATAAATTACTTAAATTTGCTAATGATATTAAGGTCTTGGGTGTTGCTAGCTGTGAAGAGGATGCTGCAGCTTTACAAAAGGATTTAAATCACTTAGTGAGTTGGGCAAATAAATGGCAGATGGGTTTTAACTTTAATAAATGCAAGGTAATGCATGTGGATTACCATAATTTGAATTATAAGTATAATTTGGATGGAAATAACCTTAACAGTGTCATAAAAAAAAGAGATCTTGATGTAATGGTTGATCAGTCTCATAAGTCATCCAAGCAGTGTGCAAATAGAAATTTAGGTTGTATCTACAGAAATAGTGAACACAAGTTTAAAAATGTTATAATTTCATTGTATAGATCACTGGTTAGGCCACATTTAGAGCATTGTGTTCAGTCTTGGGTTCCATACCTTAGGAAGGACATTGAATTGTTTGAAAGGGTTCAAATGGGGGTTACTAGAATGGTGCCCGAGATGGAGGGGTTGCTTTATGAGGAGAGATTAAGATCTATGAAATTGTCTTCTCTTCCAAAATGATTAATTTGAGGAAGTGATTGATGTGTTCAAGATTATAAAGGGAATTGATATTGTTATGCATCAACTTTTTTTCATACTTAATGGCGAGAATAGTAGGACAAGGGGACACAAATATAAATTTTGTCAAGGTACGAATCATCTTCAGCTAAGAAAGTTTGTTTTCTAACAGGGTGGTTGACCTCTGGAATGGGTTGCCTTCAGATTTTGTGGAGGCAGTAAATTTAAGTGAGTTTAAGAGAAAGCTTGATATCTATATGAATGATAAGGGCTAGCTTTAAGATTTATTAAAATTAATTATTGTAATAGTTTTAGTTTAGTTTAGAGGATGTTACAGTCGAGATAGGCCAATAGGTACCTTGTTGTCCCTTAAAATTATGTTACATTAATAACACTGATGTAAACAAACTAGAGATGATTGGAAAATAATGACTTCTTGCTTTCAGTGTTGTATTTTCCCTAATGAATGTCACTTCTGATCTCCATGTGGGTACTGGCTTGCTGTAGAAGCTACTAGCCTGCATAAGCTGTGGTACAGAACAACTGTAGTTCTGATAAAATAATCACTAAGCAGGTTTTCTCAAAATATCAGGACATTGCCAGTTCTGAACTTGAGCAGATGTTAAAGAATAAAGGAATATAAACATTACAGAGCTTGGCATCTCTAGTACTAATTGTGCAAATAAAGTGAGGACACCAAGGTTCTGTAAGTTCAAGTGAGGGAATGTAGTAATGCACTTCATTCTGTTTCTATTATCATCAATACACAAATATCTGGATGTAATGGACCACTGATTCAACACATTAGACCTGCTAGAAAGTATGAATTTAGTTATGCCAAGGAGGTAAACCTACAAGTTTAAAAATTCTATAAGAGAAAACAATTTCATCAGAAGGCCACATACCAACCTGAAGAAGTCTTGAGTTTAAAAAAAAAGAAGATAAAGTAGATGAAAGCAATTTTCGTTTTATGAATATTTACATTGTGTAGCAAGAATTACTCCTATAAAATTTTATGAAATTCTGCTGAAAAATTTTAGTATAATTGATTACACAATGAATATCACTTTAAAAAATAAAAATACCAACAAGCTTGAAAGATTAATTAAGTGTAAAATTTTGCAGTTGATATTTAAGCTGCTGTTAAATTCTTAGTATTATTTTAACCTAAAAACCTAACAGCAGCTTATTATTCTAAATGTGAGAATAATTAAATAAAGTCATTTTTAAAGACTAACTGTGACAAATAGATATAATGTGAAATCAGCCAGAAAGTTTATATAAAGTTGCTCCTTCTCCTTAGGAGGTATAAAAAGTATGTAGGGAATAATTATGCAAAATCTTCCTACTGATTTAAAATAAATATCTTGAAAAGGAATACTTCATGACATAATGTACCAATGGTTCAACCAACTGGACCTCATCCATCTGTGTCTGTATACAACTGTCTAGTTTCAGAGGAGGACTTACATCTTCAGCAAACTCATAGTACCGTTGAAACTAAAATTACAGAAGTTATGTTATTACTAACTTTGACACAAATGTCTAAGCACATAAATTTTTTAAATTTATAACTATTAATAAAAATAAAAGCTTTCTTACATTTTATAAAACTGATGTATTTTAAAAGTAATAATAGTAAAGACAAGTTTAAGTCAATAATAGCACATAATTTTCCAATAGAAAGTAAATAATATAAATAGAAATGAATGCTATAGTTTATAATTTACTATAGCTGGTATGTAGAATGCAAAATAATTCAATATTGTAGACTGGATGGGCTTGCAAGTTGCAGAAACATGACAACAAACAGTACAAAGTAGGCTTAGCTTACCACTTCTTATGCCAATATTTTTCTTTAATACACCCACAAGAAGTCCTTTTTACTGATTAATATATAGTACATAAAACTTGTTTGCAAGAAATTTTTTGTGGGCCACATTTTTCTTAAGTTTTGAAGTTGGCAATTTTTGTTTGTTTGATACATTCATAAATCAAACTAAGTTGATACTGATGCTTTACATACTAAATTTTGAGTAAAACTACATGCCTTAGACACGTCACTAAATATCCTATGTATTTAATAACAACATTTTTGAGTAAAAATTGATAACAAAAAGTCCCTTTTCCAAAATTTCGTTTTTACACACCAACCAAAAAGTTTAATATATTCAAATGAAAGCATTACTTGGAATATTAATGTGTATTAGAGTAATCACATATTTCTATGTAATGTTAGTTGCAAGATTAAGTATAGATGAATAAAAACATGGTAGTGTTATAACTACTGTATATCAGATTTGTTATAAAACAGATATAACATGTCAACAGCAGTTCAATTAAAAAACAGAAAAACAAGTGTACAGTAGATAGAGATGAAAACTCAACACTGATCTTTCATAAACTGTAAACTCAGGTATATTCAAATTGTACCACGAAGTATCAGAGAATTGTATACATATAATACATGCAAGTTGAAGCAGGTTTTAAGAAAGTTATTTTATTTATTTTATTTTCGCAATTTGAATCAATAAAATAATCTGTCTTTTTTGAAAATAATATAAACTCATTTTCTCAATTCACTTTTTCCTTTCTTTATTATATATCTAACTTACATTTTGAATGCCACTCATGCTTTGTACTCTTCGTAGGATTTTTATACCCACATGCATACACATCCCTTTTTTCCTGCATCTTTACAAATTGATCAATGCCAAAACCTCTTGGTATTGTTATGACAGTGGGGGTCACGTGACGAGCATTCTAGAAGATTCGCTAGTGTGTTACGACAGCGGGGTCACGTGACGAATATTCTAGAAGATTCCCTAGTGTGTTGCGACAGTGTTGCGTCAACAGACGCTGGTAGCATGTGTTGAGAGTCTTAGAAGTTTCTAGAACAGGCAGTATTATCGTATATAAGTGCGCTAGACAGTGAGAGAGACAGACGGAGTCGAAGCAATAGTGAAGACAAAGACAGAGACATAGCGGAGACGAAGCAGGCAGAGAGAAAGAAAGACAGCGGTTACGGTCGGCGGGAACTGAGGATAGCAGACACAGAGATCGGAACTATAGTTTGCGGGGACGGAAAATTAAGTCTAAGCGCGATAGAAAGTGAGTGAATTGTTGTGAACTATAGTGTGTGTAACTGTGAAAATTTAGTACATTACAAAGTTGTATTGAGGAAGAATAAACAAGTTTTATAAAGAAAGGACCTGTATCTTGTAAGAATTAAAAAGCAAACATACAGAGACGTAACAGTATCTTGCACATACCAACTGAATTATTTCTGACTCAAAATTTTATGAAACTATTTTTGGCTTTTTTGTTCTCTTATTTTTCATTGGCCTTTTGTTTCTGGCCAAAAACTGACTCAGATTTTTCTAAAAGTTTTGTGTCTAACCTACTTGCTAAAGACATTCTGAGCAAATAAAGAATACCATTAGGAGCAGTAACATATAAGTTTGATTTTATTGCATGCTTAAAATGCATTGATATTTGTAAATTAATGCTTAAAGGCAATTTAAAACTGAAATTCACTAACACCCTTCCATAATCCACTGATAATAATAAATCCAATTATGTTTATCAATACAATATACAGTCAACTTTTTTCTTTGTTTAGACAAAAACTTTCAATAAGAACCAATGTGTGTAATTGGTATTGACATACTTATGGTGGTGGAATCAGATCAAGTGTGTTGACTGGTTTATGCCTATGTTATGCATGTCAAGTTAAAAGTACAAAGATAAGTGTGTAATGTTTAAGCGATCTAGATTTTTACCACAGGGTTAAAACAAAAAGCGAAGTCAAACTTCATAAACAAGGTTTAAAAGCATTTTGGTCAGCCACATGATGTCTGATATTAAACATATCTTTTGTGAAAGTTTTTCTTCACATTTTATGAATCTGTTCTGAACACTTGGTATATTTGTTTACTTAAAAAACGTTTTTAAAGAAATAAAACCTTCATCATTTCAATTTGAGCAACTTGCATAATTTAATAATATTCATTTTCTGCCTCATTTAAGAATGGAAGATATCTCTCTCTTTTCATATATTAGAAAAATAAGTATAAAACATACTTATCTCTTATTAGTCAAACTGTTTGATGAGCCAAAAAGAACAAAACAAAAAGAACTTAGGTATTTTATTAAACACTAGCCTTGCACAACCTGTTAAAAAGTGACGGGTTGAAGTTTTGTATAAAAAAAACAAAAAAACACACATACACACAGGGGCCCTGCCCTTCCTTCAGAGAGCTTTGTACACCAAACTTCCCCCCTTCATCATAGAAGAAAAACAATTACAAAATGCACTACAATAATTAACGTTTAGAAAAAGCCCTAAATTACAATGAATATGATTTTTTTTTCTTACCTTGAAATCTATTTGTCAAAAAATTGTCATCCTCCAATTACTTTTATAGGTATGATGTTAATGGCTCATTACTTTGTTGGCACACGAAGTATTTTAATGATGCCATTCTTTATAACTTGAAATTTTTAACAAATTTCAATACATTACCGAAATACAGACAGTGGCTTTTATATATATTAGATTTATTAAAATTTAGGACATGTTAAGAATACATCTTCATCCCAAGGCCATACATATATCACCAGTTATCTAGGGTAGTAATAAACAACTCTAGGTGGAAGGAGTTCAAAGCCTCACTAACATTTTATCCAAAAAAGTAATAAAACTGAAAAACTTCATGAAAACCTAATAAAAACATACAAATTATCCTTACTAACCTGTAACTTAGATGTTTCTAAAACTCACCAAGAACTTCAAAATGTCTACATCAAGTTAAATATATATGTAATAACAAAAATGTAAAACAATCTAAAAAAGTGGAATTCAAGCCAGACTCATGGACATTCAAAGTATCATATACATACTTAAGACAACAATATCAGGTCATAGTTTTGTTGTTAAGTGACACAGACAAATGAAGTGTTACAAAAGACATCCAAATTTATTTATATATACATATTAGATCAGAACACAAATTACAGTTTGAGATGAAATGGTATTGCTGATTTTTTGGTTCAAGACTGGCCTCAGTTACATAGCTAACAACTCTCTCAGATTACTGTTCACCCTGTTCATCAACTATTACAAATGTGCCATTTGTGACAGCAATGTTACATTTGGTAGAAACATGTCACGCAATACTCAAGGAGTTGTCATTTTTACACAGAAAACAATTTTATGGTGAAAACGACATATTCCTTTGCTCAACCAGACAATTAAACTTACAAATTGATAAATATTCACATATTCTTAGGAACAGCATCCCTAAAATGTCAAAAATAATAATAATCTCACAACAGATTTAAAAAAACATCTGATCTGTATCTATAGATGGACTCAGTCCAAGAATGAAATAAAACCTTTTTTTACCATTGATTTGTGACTGTTGTCATACATACTGTAACAGTATTGTTATTGGTTTCTTAGGCAAATAAAACTTTAGAACTTTATGTGGTGGTCAGTTTGTGAAACATATCACTAATACTGTTTTCATGATTACTCAAGAACAAGCAAGTGCAAGCTTTGATCATACAGTGACCCCCAACCACATGTTGTAAATGAACCCATTAAACATATTATTTTTTTAACAGTAAAAAGACATCACTTTAGACATCATTTACACATTATCATTAAGCTTCAGATTTTGCAAAGAATTTGAAAATTCAAATCTGTAATTGACAATACAAAATATTCTACCAGTACGAGAACTAAAATCACTTCTACCGTTGAAAATTATATCTGAAAGTATTCATAGGGAAATCAGACCCGATTAATGTATCATTTGCCTAAATTTCAGAAACTAAAAGTCCCTATCAGATCAATAACTTCAAATATTTGAAAGAGAAAGTAATGGGTTTACTATCAACATATAGTTTGAGTTTTTAATTCTCTTCAAACTTTTAAGGTGTATACAGTTAGTTTGATGTAGTGTCTCTCTTTACTTAATATTCCATTACAGGAAACTATTTAGTCAAAATTATTCTTTCATCTTCAGATATACTAAATGGATTGTTTAAGCTTGATTTTTCCTAAGTATATATTTTCTGTCCTCCAAAAATTGTACATTTTGTTCAGTACATCTATTTATGATCAAATGGATGATATTAGTACAGGATCAAACTTGCACCTGCCATGATTAATTGATTCTTGGGCCTTGTGCTGTCACGATTGTTTGTTTTTTTCCATGCTACATGAAAATAATCCATATAAAATATTTTGAAATGTAATGAACTTAACACTACTTCATTAATAGTAATATCAACAAAATGTTGAACAAACTTAACCTTCAAATTACTGTCTTGTCTTAATACCATATATTATCACTGAAGTCCATTTAGTACAAAGGACTGAACTAAACACTGGTTGAAATCACCCATTTTATATATAAAACAGAAAGAGTAGCTCAGCATTAATTAATGGGGTAAATTACAGTTTTGATGGTATTTTTGATTACCCTTTCTTG